TTTGAGACCACACTGGGCAACCTGTCACTAAAAAGGGCTGAGAACTGAGCTCAATGTGAAGGCCTTGTGTTTAATCCCTAGTACTTAAAAAAAGTTACACACTAAGGAATGGTAACAGAAGGAGAAGACTGTCATCCACAACCAAAGACAGGCTTAGAATACATCCTTCCCACGCAGTCCACAGAAGGAACTAACCTTGCTACTGCGTAAGGGAGGGAAAGATGACAGATAAGAAACCCAGAGAAGAAGGCTTGTGAAATACTGGGGCTAAGACCACTGACAGTATGAGCCCAGAATGACAACATGAGTGAGGGGGCAGCAAAGACGCAGAGGTGGGGAGGGACTGCAGGCTGGAAGAATGGATGGGGAGGGCAGAGAGGGGTCATCCAGGAAAGGGACCAGCAAAGACACAGGGCAGAGCAGATGCAGAGAACTAAGAAGGGGAAGGGCCAAGGAGATAACTCAGCAGACTAAGCGCCTGCCTTGGCAAGCACATGGTTTGATCCCCGCATGCCATGCCAGCCCTCCTGGGGCTCTCTCACAGAGTTAGGCCTAATCCCAGCCCTGAGGAGGCTGAACACAGGAGGACCTCTATGAGTCTGATCTGTGTAGTGAGACCCTGTACCAAACACAAATAAAGAGGAGGAAGAGGAGGAGGAGAGGGAGAGGGAGGGGGAGGGGAGGGAGCAGAGGGGAAAGGGGAAGGGGGAAGGGGAAAAGGAGGAGAATGTTAATGAGATGTAATATTTTGTTTTGTGGCAGTCCCAGTGAAATGATCTGGGTCCCCTGGAAACTGAGTGTGGTTGAAGGAGGTATGAACTGAGGAACTCAGGCAAGTCTGAAGCATAACACAACACTGTACTAATCAACCGCATGGACAGAGACCATCAGCAACAATGACAAGCAGAGAAAAACGACCGGGCCACTTGCTTCTGGCTCCTCATCTGAACTTACTTTACGTAACAAAAGCATGAAGTAGAGCTATACACTTTAAACTTTTAATTCATTTTTGATAGTTCACGAATTGCTCTAGCTGTACATATTTCTAAGCTCTTTCTATACATGTATATTTATATTTTTTCATTTTACATTTAATTGGAGATTTTATCTCCGAAGTCCAGAAGCTATTATATTGGTAATTTTATATTGGTGAGGATTAACTATACTTTCTGATTTTTTACATATGATAGGCCACTACCCTAAAATCATTATATTGAAAGATAGGATTCAAAATCCCCCTGTAACATAATGTAACTACTGTTCACTTCATCATGGGGAATGGGGCCACTCAGGGGACATGGCTTTGTGGACCAAACACTCAAAGGACATTTAGGAAGTTATGCAACAGTGTCATAGATATGAAGTTCACCCTGGAGGCCTCATCACAATGTCACCAAAACCACTGTCTGCTGAAAATTATGACACAAGAAACCAGTCTTCTTACACTGTCCATCTGTCTTGTTTGTTCCCCTGATATTTACTTAGCCAAGCCTCCACACTGGCCAAGCACAACCACCAAAGCCTAAAGACCCAAACACCAAGAAGTTGGGGAAAAGTACCTAAAACTAAAAAAAATGTATGCATGAAGATGTGAATTCCTTTTTCTACTCTGTTCCAGGGCAAACGTTACAGCCATTCTAAAAATACCCTCGACATGAGTCAGGGGCCAGCAACTCAACTCTAACTCAGGCCTCCGCTGGCCGGTGGTTGTTCCTAGAGATAAGGAGCCTCTTAGCTGCCAACAGGGAGTAGGAAGAGAGCTGCCACACCTCATTGCATAGCTACGAAACTGACTCCATCCCCAAGCTTCTTGGCTCAAACAAGAATTGAATTCCAATGGCCTGCAGAGCCCCCACTCCAGAAAGAAGGGGAGTTTGAACCCTAGTACTTAAAAAAGAAAACTGTGGTTGAGGTAAGTGAAACACTTTGCTTAACTCCAGAAAAGGGGAAATCCACAAGTTCAAAAAAACTTTTACCACTGTAATCTGAAAAGCCACTGAAGAATTCAGTTACTTCCCATTTATTTAAGAATTATACCAGTTGCTGGTTTTTGTTTTGTTTTGTTTTGAGACAGGGTCTCACTACGGAGTTCAAGCTGGCCTTGAACTTACTACGTTGGAGCACATGCTGACCTCAAATTCACAGCAAGCTACCTGCCTTAGCCTCCCACATACTAGTATTGCTGGTATGCATCACAGTGCCTTGTTAATTTTTCTGATCTGGATAAAAGTGTAATCTTGTATTAGGTGGATACTACATTTAGAGCTACAAAGCAGCTTGAAGATCAGAGTTTAGCCAGTTAGCTTTTTACACATAAGAAAACTGAGGTTGTGATAAGTGAAATACTTGCTTAACTAGCTAGCACCACATGAGAATCCACTGATCACTCTCATTTACTCAAACGTATTTAACAGATACTCACTGAATGTTAATCAAGTGCATCACACATGGCAATGGCAAAACTCAATGTAGTCACACCTTCACCAAATCTAAAAGATGATAGGTTTTAGGCAATATTTTCAGTGTTAATACACAAAGCTTCATTTGGGATATAAAGGAATATCTGAAACAAACTCTTCTTGTGCCCCTAATTCCTAATGTAAAATTAAATCCTTCCATACGCTTTGTAGCCCTTCCAGCTGCAGAAGTTGGACACCGTGGTAAGAGCATGCCCAATGACAATGCGAGTGAAAGCAATGAAGATGACAGTACCGATTACACACCATGTAATATATTTCACCATTATTCTGGAGGGAGAGAGAGAAAAAGAGAGAGAGAGTTTAATCGTCTCAACTCCTTTAAGAGGTTATACTATTACTTTTATTTTACAAAACGTGTGACAAATGTATCATCTGCTCAATGAGAGGTGGCTGCATTAGGGTGTATACTGGGGTGCGCCTTGCCTTCATTGTCCTTACCTCCCAGACTCATGGCCCTGGGTTTTTCTTTAACTAGAATTACCCTGCTCCTCTGGATCTTAATCTCGTCCACAAAACGCTGGAATGAGGAAATGATGATTTCCACTAGCTCTTCTATGTTTAGCTTTCTGAGATTTACTACTAACTTAAGGTAATTCACCAATCCCTTGTGCCACAGAAAAAGGACAACACTGTGTAAAGGACTAAGAATGATTTTACTTCAAATCACAAAATCCAAACCTTGGACTACACAGAAGCTACAAAATAATATAAACTCAGGAGAACAGCTAATATAGGTGTTCTTATCCTATATACCCTTAACCTTCACATAGGTTGAAGTCTAGGTTTTGTTTAAGTTAATGTACACATAACCACAGGATATATAAAACACACTCATTAACAATTATTCAAACACCAAAAGAACTTTTTAAAATCTTTATGATTAGAAGGAACCTGTAAAAACATAAGAAACCATATTACAGGTTAAGAGGAAAAGTAAGATATAACCCAAAAAAAGTTAAAATATTCAACAATGATTGTACCTAGACAGCAAGATTCAGGAGATTTTTTTTTTCTTCTTTTTCTTCTTCTTCTGTGAATGCTCAGAAAGTGCTCTACCACTGAGCTATATCCCCGGCACTCAGGAGATTCTTTTTCTCACTTCTTTTTCTTTTCATTATTTTTTTAAAGTTTTTTAATGTAAGCTTAAGTTACCACCATAATTAGAGGGAAGAACTTTCTTTATAAAGAAAGAAAAGGTCTCTAACATTCTCACACTGATTTTTCCAGAGCAGAAAGAAGATATTCTCCCAAAAGCATATCAGTACACATGGTAGAAATTCCAGAAATACAGGTTTGGAAGGAAACACCATTATTTCCTACTACAGATGGGAAAGCAAAGAAAGTCTTCTATTGCTTTAGGTCTAGAAGAATTAAGTTTTAGGGTGTGTTACAGGAATGCTGGCAGGTGGAGCTCTGCAGAGCTCTGCCCAGGAAAAAATGAACAGGTGCAGCGATGAGGCAGCAGCCGCAGACTGTGACAGCCAAGTGATGCTGGCCCATCCAGAGATCCCGGCCCGCAGCAGCTTCTCCCTGAGGGGACCTGCCATGCACCAGGTCCAGCCATGTGGCCAAAGGGTCAGTCCACGAACATGAAGGCACTGAAGCACTGCTCAGAGCAGAAAGAGGACCAAGAGCACATCATAGGGGACCCCTAGGTGCTCGATAACCACACCAAGTCAATCTCTACTTTCATTAGGCGGTGGGCCGTGCACCCCGTGCAGACACTTCTCTGCTTATCTACAAATACACACAAGTGGCCAGATTGCAACACAGATCAATGCTGTGGCTTTAGACAGTTACAACGAAACACTTCACTCTGCGGCACTCTGAAAACAGGAAGGCAAACTCAGAACGCTATTGATTACATATCAGCCCTCAGCCTTACTTGAACAGGTTTTTTAATTACCTCATACCCAGTAAATAAAGAGGTGTCTGGCAGACAAAGAAAGGGGAAGCTAGTTCAGGAAAAGTCACCTTCTCTTTCGGGAGACCTCACGACTGTGTGTGACGTCAACACCACACCGCTTGCTGAGTCAGCTGAGGTCTGCAAGGAACCGTCGTGGCCAACTTACCAACCGCTCCACACCGTCCACAGCACGCACGCACCACACTGGGCTTCTCCAGCCACTGCTGGCCAGAACGCAATGGCACCGAGGCCTGTTTGTCTTTTCATTAGTTGATTTATTTATTTTTTCTCTTTTTTTTTCTTTTGTTGAGAAACAAATATCAATGAGACATATTCCAAGCTGATTAATAGGACATTTTCAATAATTAATACATTGCACATTGTTATCTTCTTCGTTAATTGATTTAAAAAGACATGTTTCCAATGGTCCCTGTAAAGCTCACTGGAATAACCTTAAAAATCTGATCATAATATGAGGTAGCTACACAGCCAAATGTTCTGTCTTGTTTACTCGAAGGCATCTGCTTTTGTTTCTAAGTGCTAAATTGGCAGCTATCAACTTTACCTAGCTGTAATTAAATACGGGAAACATTAGCTAAAGAAATTTAGCTTACCTCATCAAAGGTGGTGTCATCTTTCTTCAAAGCTACAAAATAAAATGGGAAAGGAAACAGTTATTGTGAAACATTCCAAAGCCATCAAATATCTAAGTTCTAGAAAACAGGGGAGAAAAAAAAATGCTTAAGGCAGTATGGTGTTTTTATTTCAAAAAGTAAAACTGTACCCCAATATGAGTAACAATGTTACGATACAAATAGGAAAACTGCAAATGAGAAAGAATTGCACAGCACGCAGCTTTGTGAAACATTTGTCATAAATATGTAAATGGCAGGATCCTCTCAAACATGGAGCAGAAGCACACATATCTCTTCCCATCTCTTTTCTAGTTCAACATGTTTTGCTAGAAGTACAAAAGATGCACAAAGTAATCTTAGAAGAGATTCGACTTGTAATCCTGGGTTTCTGAGCGTGTATCGTCATGCATGGTGCAAGGCCCTTCCAAAGCAATTGTTCAGATGCCAAGCACTCTTTAAAGAGTAAAATAAAAGACATGATGTAAAAGAGGGACATAAACTAGGTGGAGATGGGAAGGGATGTGGGATGCGGGGCAGAAAAGACAAAAGGGGAGGGCCGGCCAAATAGCTCAGCAGATTAAAGCGCCTGCAAGCAGGCACAAAGCCGGGGGTTCAATCCCCAGGCCAGTCAGGCCAGCCCCACCCCCCAGGGCACAGCTAAAGGGCAAATGAGGCTGGGCGTGGTGGTGCACGCCTATAATCCCAGAACTTGGGAAGCTGTAAACAGGAGGATCACTACAAATCAGATCTAGTAGTGAGGCCTTGAACACCCTGTAGACCCTTCCCTAAAAATACAGAAAAAAAGAAGTAATGGAATTTTATCACTCTGAAGAAAAAAAAGAATATCACTTAGGGTTGGCAAACATAAATCCTACAAGTTGTCCATGTACTTTCCTACAACTAATTTTGTCTGAAACTACTAGTTGCAGAAATACTTACAATTCACAGAATGATGCGTGCAAAAATGTGTACTATCTATAATACACAGTCGTAACCCGGTTAGGACTTGGGTAGCTATTACTCAGAAAGCTATTTTATGCCAAAAGCCATGAAAAGCAAAATATTTTGGTGATTAACTCTGCGAAAAGTGATGTGCCTAAAATGAAGTGATCATATAAAAATAAATAAGATACATAATCTTAGCAATCATGAAAAGGTAATTTTCTCCATTTCATAGAGTACATTTTTTTTTTTCAAATTGTGTGGCAGTGAATTAAGGGAAATAAAACATTCCTGAAAGTTTAGTTCTTAGTCCTTCCCTTTTACTCAGGAAACTGATCTATAATAGTTTTGGTTTTTTTTACTTTATTAAAGAACAATTTATTTTGATTGAGAACCAGAAAAAAAATCCTTTATCTCAAATAGCTAATTTTACATTCACCCTTGCATGTTTTATTACACATCTGACATAATTTACATTAAACTGAAAAAACTATGTTGATTAAAAGATACAAAACCTTAGATGATTCCTACCAGCTATATTTTCAGTACAACTGACCTTTAAACACAGAAGGCTGTCTATAGAATAAACAGTGCTACTAGACTATGTGCTCCAAACTCACTCAACCCAATGTATACACTTTAATTAAAGGAATTGAGAACGTTTTAAATATTAGTAATTTTATATACATACAAAAGTTCCTTAATCAAAAAATCCCTCATTTTTGGAATAAGAAATGAGCAGCTCATTGATTTCAAATACAAAGTCCCATGGAAGCAAGTGATGCCGGCTCACACCCACTTCACCTAACAAAGATTAAGGGGACACACATCCTAGGACTAATGAGCAAGATGTGAAACGACAGCACAAGGTATCAAACAGAGAACAAATTTTTAAAGATACACTCTCCCTACTCTGGAAATTTAGCCACGTGCTTTCTTAAACAAAGCTGAACTACAAGTGATACCATCTCCTCAGGAATGACAAACATCAAACGCAAGTTGAGAAACAAAGGTAGCAGAAAACCAGCATGTCTTGGACATCCAGATTGGGCCATCTCCTGCTGGCCTCCTGAGTCCTGCCAATTCTCACAGCCTCCTAGATGAAGAAATGGGGAACATGGGGAAACCAAGCGAGAAGGAAATTATAGATGTACTGGCTAAGCCATAAGGAGCAGGAAGCTAGTCTCTACCCTACAGAACTTATCCTACGTCCAGAGTACAACAGGAGAGGACAATTTTTAGACTAAGGGGCCCACAACTAAACTGAAGTCTTTCACTCTTTCACTGCTAAATTGAAACCTTCCATGATTTCTTCTAAAATCTGAATCCTTCCTTGCAAAGCAGTTAATAGGGACAATGAAGACCAATTAAAGTGTCCTTGCCAGATATTATCAGGTCACTGATGAATATACTCTGACCTAAACAGGCAACACAACATCTTGTTATTGATCACATTCCTTGATTGTCATTAATCATTTATGTAAATACAAAACCACAACTATCTTCAAGGCTATGAGGAATAACAAGCATACTGCATTATTCCAGATGGATAAAGGGGCATACGCTAAACTCTGTAAGATGACCAGATATTCTAGTCAGGCCTCTGGTCAGATGATGCTGTCTCCAGAAAGATGCCCATAATTTTACCAAGATAAAAATAGTGCTTCTCCTGTGGTCTCCCAACAGCAAATTTCACTAATCTAAAGGTAGATTTGGGCTTTGGAAACAGCTCCATGGTCTAAGCACCTACCTGGCAAGCACAAGGACCCAGGTTCAATCCCCAGTACCACATGCCATGCTGGCCCTGACCCCCTGGTGCACCATGCCAGCCACCAAAATCAGGTGTGGTGATGTACACCTGTAATCCCAGCACTGGGGAGGCTGAGACAAGAAGATCACTATGAGTCCGAGCTGCATAGCAAGACCCTATACCAAATAATTAATTAATTTTTTAAAAAGGTAAATTTTGTTACTTTACATTGTCAGTGATCGTTCCTTTTTTTTTTTTAATTTTAGTACACTGTCTACAGGGTGTTCAGGGTCTCACTAAACAGATCAAATTTGAACTCATAGTGATGCTCCCATTTGCAGCCTCCCAAGAGCAGGGATTACAGATGCGTGCCACCATACCCAGTCTCAATCTCTATCTCAGCACACCTAGTGGGTGGGGACTACACAGCACGCTGGTGATCACCCAGCCACTGCATCTGCCTAAGCAGGCACTTTAATCCACTGAGCTATTTGTCTGGCCCCTTTCTTTATCTTGCCTTCCCTTAAAATCCTTGTAGACATGGACAAGATACCGTGGGTAATTAATCTGGGTACCAGCACATAGAAAGTATTCAATAATACACTGCTGGGTTTATGAGTCCTTCTTCAATGTCACACATCCTATATTGTGAAACAAAACTGAAGTTTTTTGTTTTGGTTTAGGTTTTTTTTTTGGGGGGGGAGTTGTTGTTGTTTTTTGTTTTGTTTTGTTTTGTTTCATGGAACCAGGGATTGAACTCAGTCCCTTGTGCTTGCCAGGGAAGCACTTCTTCTACTGAGCCATCTCCCCCATCCTGAAGTTTTGGACATGCGAAAACCATGTATTTTTCTGTCTTATGAAAGAACTATTGATATACATTCCATTTTGTAATTCTCTCTCTTTTTTAAAAAATGTATTTAGAGCCAGGGAGATAGGCTCAGTTGAATAAAAAATTTAGGACAGGGTCTATGGGGTCTCACTACACAGATCGGACTCATAGTGATCCACCTGTATTCAGCCTCCCAAGTGCTGGGATTACAGGCATGCGCCACCACACCCAGTCTCAATCCCTGTCTCAGATCAAACCCCAGTCCCTACACTCGCCTAAGCAGGCACCTTAGTCCACTGAGTTATCTGACCAGCCCCATTTTTGTAATTCTCAAATTAATGTTTCTCCTATCATGGTACTGGGGAGCGAACTCAAATCCTTGCACGCTCTCTCACTGAGCTATGCACATCACAGGACCAAATTAAAACTTTGTGAAACCTCACTGGGAAACGATATGCACAATAGGTAAATTCTACATCCCAACTTTTAACCTTACATTTCACTTTTCTGACAGAATGGGCTCATCAAATGACAACTGAGGTCTAGGATTACACACTCACAGCACAAAGTCAGGAACCCAAATACTCAGTGTACGGCCCCATCCTTTATTCAGATCTCTCGCAAACCACCTTCTTTAAAGAAATGATATACGTGAGCCCATCTCAAATATCGCAGAGCATAAACTTCCTTTCTCTAGGACTGTATCCAAATACATGTGAAGAAAAATATATTCAAATGAATTTAAAGAAATGTCCATTTGACCTGAATCACACGCTGGCCAGACCCTGTACCAAATAAATGACAGAGCCTTTAGCTTCCATTCAAAACTGGAAACCAGGAAAGAGAAATGGATTTTAATATATTTCAACTATTCAATAATTAAATTGCCATTTGTCTTTGTTAGCCTGAATGTGAAAAAAACAATTGTGAAAATACTAATTTCAAAGTAGGAACCACACTGACACTATTTAGTGGAAAACCATAAATATTTCTAAAACTGGTGGTTGACTTTTTGAAATTCAATTACACACATCTTATAAAAGAACCATGGCCATACTGTAGTCACTCCCTGGCTGATGACATAAATTATAGCACAATAGCTTGAAAGTTCATATCTTTTATTAGACTTTTTATAATGCAGTAATCTCAGATCCACTGTATTTGAGGTGAGCGGTGACCCAACCAGCAAGATGAATGAATAAACGAAACATCAGCATTTCTACTTTCTGCATTCAGAATTACTGTTATTGATAATAAACACTACCTGGATATGACATCCCTTCAAATGGTATTCTCCTTTTGCATAAATATTTAATGATTTCTAATGGCCAGCAAGATAGGTCAGGGGACTAAGCACCTACTTAGGCAAATGCAGGGACCAGGCTTCAATCCCTGGTACTGCATGCCATGCAAGCCCCGCCCCCAGGCCAATGACCAAATCCAGGCATGGTGACATACATGCCTGTCATTCCAGCACTGGGGAGGCTGAAAACTGGAGGATCACTACAAGTCTGAGCTGCGTAGTGAGACCCTATAGCAAATACATTAAAAAAATAAATAAATAGTTGGCCGAAACAGCTCAGCTGGGAGAGCGTTAGAGTGAAAAATAAATAAATAAATAAATAAATAAATATTAGTGGTTTCTCATGGCTAACCAATGATATTGCACAATTTAAGAAATAACAAGCCACACTTTTGAATCATTCTAAGAAAGCAAAATAAACAGTATGTTTAGTTCAAAAGCCATCTCAAACTGGTTAAAGGGAATGAACACATTGCAATGATGGCTTACGCAACAAGAGTAAATCACCCTTTCTCATCTCATGAATGGGGGACTGTGGGGACAATAGAGATAAAGAAAGTAGGCAGGAGGAATAACAACAGCTTCCAGTATTGATTTTCACCATGTGATAGATATTGCATCAAACATTTTAGGTATTCTGTCTCATTTAATCTTCACAATAACTGCATGAAGATTGACAGATGAGAACTCTAGAGTTTGGGGAATTACTATCAGTTGACCAAGACACAGGGAAAATAGTGTTTAAACTCATGACTCCGGACTTCTAAAACCCATCCTGTTCCAGACTGACTACTACAAAGCCAATGGCCATTTTCTTCCTCTTGTTCTTTATTCACTTATAAGATCAATTATATCAGTGCAGTACGATTCCTAATGTAATGACAACATACTGTGAACACTTAGTGTCTTTATTACATACCACACAGGACAGCATACGTATTACTTCATTAGGTACCGACAGTAAAAGCTTAGAGAGGTTGAGGAACCTGTCAAAGGTCACTCAGTTAAGGAATGGCAATATCAGGAATCCCCAATCTGTCTGACAAACAGCCCACATTCCTAGCTTAAGCAATACATAAACCCATAGCAAAATCTCAATTCAACAGCCTCTCATACTTCAAAATCCTTAATCAGAATGAATTCAGTAGTTTGGATTTTGCAAAAACAAATCAAAAAATAAGTAAAAGAGATTTATTTTTTCATAATGATATTGGTAGTGAACATTCTGGGCTTGATAACTTCAATAACTGCTTTTATAGTATTCCACAATGAAATCTGCTATTCAGAATCAGAGACTTCCTTCAATACAAAAAAGTCAATTATGTTCACCACACTGTACCATTTCCTAAAGGGAGGATAGAAAACCCACTAGCTCTTAGAAGACGTTTTTAACAAGACCTGGGCTCAAAAGGAGGTACATAACACTAAATCTCAGTAAGCTAGAAAATTCAATTAACTGTAACACCCTAGTTGTCAGCATTGCAGTTAATCCAAATTTTACCGACTGTCAATCAAAACCTTGAAAGAATTTAAACATAAAGAATTTTCATATTAATGTTCTTGATTTCTAACTGAAACTCAAATGCAATGAATTATTTAACACAAAACTGGAGGGGTTCCAACAGAGTCATTACCATTAGTAAATACATAGTATTAATGTATTTGAGAACAGGGCTTAATGGACTCCAGAACCTGCCGCTATGACAGTTTGGGTCAGGAGCTGAAATATCTCTGTTAATAGTACACATGACTCAACACCTTGCTCTCTGACACTCTTCTTGGCCCCAAATTTCACTTGAATGTAGGCACTCCCCATACTCATCCCTAACTGAAGAGTAAAACTGCAAATATCCAATCTGAGCAGTAAATACAAATCTAGAGTGACCTTACAGAGGGTTTTATATACCAATACAAAATTTTTAATCAGAAAAGATCAAAAAAAGATTAAATTTTGATTTATGCTTTCTCTCACTTCAAAGTTTGGGTATTTTACAATGACTAGGTGGAAGGAGAGCTGCAACATTCATTGGCATTCTAGGGTTTTATTTTAAGGAATTATTAGCACGTGTATGATAAATTTTTATTAACACCTTCTTTAACATGGACAACGTGTGAAACAAAGGCTGGAAGAGTCCTTAGACACTCCGATTTTGTTGTTGTTTGCTTATAGTATTTTCTTGCTAAGCTCAGTTACCTGTATTAATGAAAAGTTATGACAGGTGGAGGCAGCTGCATCTTCAGGTTCAAAGAGCCTTTCTACACTCAAAATCAAACCAACCCACCCCACCTGGCACTGCTGTCACCCCGTTTAGCCTATGACATGATGTATTTTTAAGTATCCTAATTATCGCTAGGCCGGCTCTGGTTAATTGGTTGGCTTAGGGACAATAGCCCCTGCGCTCTAGTAAGTGGAACAAGTTCGAGAAATATTCTTAAACGTCCAACAACTTCACAACACGCATCTATCCCCAGCCAGGGACCTCGCTCGGAACTGAACACCCAAGTCTCGCTTTCCAGGACCCGAAGTCCCGAAACAAAAGGTCCCAAGGTATCTGTCCCACTTCGCTTGCGGCTGGACGTGTTCCTCAAAACCAGGACACGATCCAACATTTCACCAATTTCTAAAGCTAAATGAGTGACAAAACATCCAATACCAAAAGCCTCCGCGTAAAATAAAGCGAGTGGCCAGGGCGGTCGCACAGCCCCGCGCAGCGAGGCCAGGGTGCAGGGTGCTCCCCGCGACGAGCCAGGAGGAGGGGCCGGGCCGGAGGCTGGAGCAGCCCGCGGCGAAGCCCTCCTCGGGAGCGGGCAGCTGTCCGTCCGGGCGCGCCCCGGCAGCCGCCGCCGGAGCCCGAGCCGGAGCCCGCAGCGCGGGCGGGGACGCGGCCGGCTTGTCACTCACCGATGCGGCTGAAACTCTCCGACAGAGTTCTCCGCAACTTCTTCATCTTGCCGATCTTCTCGGCCGGCTGCGGCTCAATGAGGTCGCACATCTGGGCGACGCGGGGCCCCGGCAACTTCCCCAAACTGGTCCAGAGCGGAGCGCGGAGGAGGGCGCGGGCGCGCGGCCGGGGACGGGAAGGCGGCGCCTCCGCCGCGCTCGGGCTGCTCCTCCTCCGCCTCCTTCCCGGCCGGAGGCGCCGCGCAGGGCTC